GTTCCTGATGTGCAATACAAGGAAGTCTTATTAATTGTAGTAATAAGAGGCATAGCAACTGAACCCATTAACAGTGGAATCAAAAACTGATCAGTGGCCATTAATCAAGGGCAGTTGGCACAAATCAGTTGTTTGCCCCCCATGTCTAATAGTGACACCAAATAAATAATGTTACTATCAGAGGCAAACTCTATCGAACGAGCCAACAGCACAAGATGTGTCAAAATGCGGTGCCATCTGTAACTCAGCCCACCTTAGCCATTGCATGCTATCATGTCATCTGCAACCGAAGGGTTAATTCAACTGTAAAATCCACATGAGAGAAAAGACACGAAATGTAGGTGAAATATCTTTCCAACGAATTGAGAGTGTACAATGTTTTATTTCCATTATTTTTTTTAAATTACCAGGATCCGCCCTTCATGCTCAGCTAATAGCACCCTGTCTCCCTAGTGTTCGTTTCGGGCTGACATCCACCTCTCTATCTATCCTCTTCATGTTATCTATCCCCCCCTTTCATTTTCCATCCTGTCTCACACAAAATACAATAAGCAAAACAGCAAAATAAACTCTTCTCTAAGGAAACACAAAGAATAAACCAGTAACAGTCAATGAAAAAGACATTGATATGAACAACTATCATTTTATTCCTACTTCCCTGTGAGCAGCCAAAACTTTGAAAACAATCAGAGACAGGTTGGTGGTGGCTAAGCCCATCAACTCCAGCACAAAATTCAGCCACAGTAATGACACAGTATACCAAGATCATATATTGCCAGCTGTACATATGAAAATTCTTCATAATCAGAATCAACAAAAAATACCCCACTTATATCAACAAAACTGCATCAAACAACACCAGTCCATGCTAAATAATCCACCCATGTATGGAATGTCATACATGCCTAGAATCATGAGAGATTGTTCTTCTTCAATTTACGTATTAATAACATGGTATTCCTAATCTGAGGCCAAGAACACCAGATAAGACAATGGTGATTGTAATATTGCTTTGTACATGTGCTGTTCAAGAGAAATGAGCAAATACCACCTCGTCTGTCTGCTTGTACTGATGGCACGACGGACCTACCAGAGCTCAGGTCAAAAACTTCTGGGAGATTTTCCTGCCCATCATTTACCTTCTTATACTGATGGACTACAGTAATGAATGGTAACCAACTTTCCCACAAATAACCAATGGAGAGAGTTTGTAACCATCAAGCACTTTCAAATCAATGTTCTAGTGGAGTATGGAAAAGAAGGCAGCCTGCAAACTACAAAGTCACGACCTTTACAGATAACAGGTAGTAATTGTTCATTCATCTAAAAATTGATGAAACTTTTTATGAAAAAAGAAAAGAAAAGGAAGAGAAAAGGTGGGGGGGAAGGAGGGAGGGGGAGGGAGAGGGAGAGGGAGAGGGAGAGAGAGAGAATCATAATTGTGTTACAAGATAGTCTTACTTTAGTTCGCTGAAATACCGCCTTTGGCTCAAGATTCTTCAAGTGCCCTGGGTTGTTAATGTTTGTTCGTATCCAACAGATGTCCTCACAGCGTCTGAAGCCCCACTTTCGCAAGCACTGTCGCCCCAGGTCTAGGCCCTCAGAGGAGCCACACCAAAGGAAAATAAAACTGCGTGGCGCTGCTACCTGTTGTGTTGAAAGAAAAACTTGGTAATACTAATAACAGTATTAAGAATAAAAATAGTAAAATAAAAGTACCAATAATAGTAACAATAATAATAGTAAGGATGATGATGATGATGGCAGCAAAGCTTTCTGAAAGAAATACTCAAGTACTGCATTTTGTATACCTTCTGCCTCTTGGTAAAAATGATCCACAGATTCTCTTAACCCCTTCCTTGGAGACAGAAAGAAAGGAAAAAAAAATTATGAAAGTTAACCCAATGGTGACAGGTGAAGAAAAAAAAAACAAAAAAAAACTACGGTCTGGCAAACAAAGGCGGCGCGCCAACTTTGAGCACGTGAGTTCGGTACATCAGGCCGGATCACTGGCTCGCCGCGCTGTGGCACGCTGCCGCGACGTACAGCCACACAGCACTTTTCGAGCGGTTTGTTTTCACACCTAGCGGCGTCACCCGTCATGAAGAAGTTGAAATACATTTAGTCCCTCATTCCCCAGGGGTAATTGAATGCTACAAAAATTACCTGTGCAATGTCCAGGTCCATAATCTTCTGCCAGTCCCAGAACTCCACATTGTTGACTCCCGTGTGCTGGTACTCTTCCAGTGGCGGCTCGACAAGAATCACGTCAAACTTGACGGGCAGGTCACGCCAGTCGAAGGTGTGCAGGTCTGACTGTAGGTACATTGGTGGTGTTGCTGTTGCAGCTATCAACTCATCCTGGTAAAAAAAGATTCAGTTATCTGTATGAAAGGCGGATAACACTAATTACGGGTGAATTTTAACAACATAAAAACTAATGTGCACAACTTTCTATAATCTTGTCTCCCAGGAGTATCTTCTTAACAAGCAATATCCATATGCTACAAAAATCCAGTGCCAACATTTAATTGAAAAATTACCTTCTCTCTCCTTTTCATTCTGACCTTTTGATTGCAGCTAATCATTTTGTTTATAAACTGTTTAGCAGAAGCAGATCCAGTAATAATAGAGAGCACTTATAGCAATAATAAATCAGTAATAAGAGGCAAACCATCAAGAAGATAGCTGGCACAAGCCGCAAAGTACTGTCTGCCAGTATTTAATGATAGCACTGCTGTTCCTCATGGAATCATTCAGTGATTCCTGAAAAGGACCATTTTGGGAGCCTCCCAGTCCACTTCATTTCTTGCTAGAAGAAATGAAGATTTTTTAAACAAGCTAGTACTTTCTTAAACTAGCTAGTATTGTCATATTAATGACAGCAAAGATTCAAACACTAATTACCCTAATCTGATTTGGATAATCTGCCCATAATACAGAAAAACGGTCATGTAGCAACATCTGCTATCTGGTCACACAGATTAGTTCCCTTTGTTTTGTGTGCAGGAGGAAGCAAACTGTCATCTAGGAAAAACAAGTGCCATTTTGTATCAACCATAGAAAATGCTTCATACAAGAAAATCTAGTAATGAATATATACATATGGTAATCCATCCCCAAAATACATATGACAAAAGTATACCATACAAAGCAGGCCCTAGAACAATTTAGCTGTAGTGTCACACTACTTGGGGCCCAAGGATTCACCACAGACTGGATGATCAGACGATATTACACCACAGAGTTATCCACAAATTCTGAGAACCACAAGAATGAGAGTCTGAGTCATTTCCAACTATCCAACTATTTTTCCAGCAAAAATATAGATTTTAGTAAGAATAAAGAATAGATTCTATCCTAGCTGATAATAAGGCCTTCATGCACATTCACCAACAAGACTACTCACCTTGAGACGAATAAGCTCCCGTAACTTTGGATACTCTTCAAACCTATCTGCGAGCCCCACGTCCCTGATGAAATTCTGAGGACGCTGACCGGTGTCAACAAAGTGCTGACAGTAATCATTGTGTGGGTTTGCTGACTGGGTGCCCTGTAAGAGAAACAAACAAAGAAACTGTTAACGCGAATAACATATCATCTAAAAGAATGTTCTTTGTGACAAATGATTATGCTAACTTTATCATTTTTAAACCTAGAAAACTAAAAACCTTAACTAGCCCTGTAAAATTTATATATGTTAAAAAGGTAACTTTACACCATTACAATTAATTTGTACCAATAACAGTTTTAACCCCTAAGATCCAGTCGATGTGACCAACATATCAAGAAAAAATTTGCCATAAACGGCAGGTGACATGAATATGCCATCATGGGAAAACCTGGCTGCAGGCCAGGTAACGCAAATTTGCCGTCATGAAGGCCAGGGGCGACAGGAAAGACTCGTCGCTAGTGCATAAACCTGAGTGTGGAATGTAGTGTTCATGAGCTCATAAGTCTAATGCCCGGATTTTTGGCCATGTGATTGCTAGGAAGCTGCCAGATCCAAGGGGTTAATGAGACATACACACCATGAACTGCTTTAATCCATTCGCCCTATGTGGCAAGAATACATGCCATGCCCCCTGTAACACACGTTTATTTATTGTATTTACACACAGATGGCTCTACATGTTCCTAATCACCAAAAAGCCAGTTATCAGAACTACCTATCTCACATGTTTACTCTTTTTCTACACTTTAGGAAAGGGTCTTTTGTATCATTTCATTGTCTAAAATATTTTAATGACAATTTAATAATCATAACATCAATAATTATAATAACAGTATCGATAGCAATGGTATTAATAAGAAAATTACATTTTCCCACTTGTGATTTTCCCGCTAATTCAAGGAATGAGGAAATCAGGATTGGTAACTAGGGCCTACTGATGACTCCCTGCCGGTTGAGCACATATGGAGCCATCTGTAGGTAACAAAATTCACTACAGGGGACACAACATAAATCCAGGACGAATGGGTTAAAAATGGCAATAAGAGTTTATTACTTTAATGATTTCTTTATTCATATCCTGTTTTTACTATCATCAAACTGATACTCTATGTATAGTTGCTAAAAGAAATATCTTTACTCAGGAGTAGATGAATCCGAAACGATTGCTAGGAGTTGAACTTGATATTTTCAAAGCTCACAACAGATGAAACCTCATAATGTACTGTATTTGAATAGAGTTTATATGGCTAGGGCCTCACACCATGGCCCTATCATTCTCATGGAGATCACACAGACCATTGTCCCTTTACTCGGAGGGACTATGAAGATCCAAAACATCAAGATCAGGCGTTTCTAAGCCAACCACGTCCCTGTGGATCCAGTGACACCAGAAAACTGGATCCAACAGAGACTATGCCAGAAGTGGGCACCATTGATGCACCACAGAGGAAGGTAAGCTCAAGTAATTGTTATTCAAAACGTAGATCAATGTGCTACATTAAAGACAAGTAGGAAGCTTGCATTGGCATGCATATATACCATGAGCTAATGAAAACCACTTAATACTCAGTGGCAATACCCCTCACAGCTCACTGAGTTTGAGAAGGGGGCATGCCTTTGGTTAGTTGCCACATCCCCTGTCTAGAGTCATTTTCCTCTTAATTATTTATTTTCATTATTTTTTGAAACAGGCCATAACAACTGCAAGGGATGCAGATCCCTTTTGTTCTGCTGGCAGCCTCCTGCAGGACTTGGCATTACACTGCAGCACGCAGACTGTCAGAAACCGCTGGGCCATCCTAGTGGATGTGCAATTGACGCAGATTTATGGGGTCTATGTGGAAATTCTGGAAGAGGTGTTTCTACCATGGTGTTCCCCGAGCCAAAGCCATTTCACATCGTCTGGGATAACAGCCCCATCCACAAGAGCAGTGTAAGGTATGGTTTTGGCAACACTGAGATTTGCTGTGCTACATCCACTCAAATTGCCAGATCTTAACCCCTTCACGACGGGTGACGCCGATAGGCGTGAAAACAAACCGCTCGAAAGCTGGCGTGCGGCTGTACGTCGCAGCGGTGTGCTAAAGCGCGGCAAGCCAGTGATTCGGGCCACCATTGTTTGCCAGAGCGTAGAGTTTTTTTTTCGTTTTCTTCACCCGTCACCATTGGGTTAATCCCATTGAGAATGCCTGGGCACCCAGTGGAAGAGACTTCCCCCAAAGTCATACCTGCAACTGTCATATCATCATTGCCCTAGCAGCTACATCTGCAGAACGATTGCGCTCTGCAGACGGATACCAGATAACGGGGCATCAGTGGCATCCATGCCACACAGACTTGCTAGAATTCGTCAAGCTAATGGAAGTAACACAAAATATTGAAAGTATTTTACATTTCAAAACCTTTAATTTTTCCTTTTCAATCTGCTTAAATTGTCAGGCTACACTGTCATTCCCATGGAATTTATTTAGGACTGAGTTACTTGCATCATGCATAATATCAAGAGAGCAGGGATACCAACATCAGACAGGTCACAGCACTTTTTCCCACCATTTTTGTTGCCGTATCATACTGTTAAGTCAGAAGGAGCAAAGGTACATTTTTTAGTAAGTGTACAAAGAATAAATGAGGAATTTTTTGCTTTACTGCCATTTATTTCACCTATTAATTTTTCCCTTCCAGCAGAGATGAATATCACTGAAATCAAAGTTCAATGAAGTCCTGCCCATCCTTGTCTCATTATCAGATAATAAATTTCTGCTTCACAAAAATGCCCATGTTTGATCATACAATTATAAACATATAATTAATCTTTTAACCATTTTTTTCTCTGTTTAATTTCCTTTTTTCTTTTTCTTCCTTATCTAAGTTGATTAGTCAGAACTGCTTCCACTGTTCAATAACATTAAAAGTTCCTGCAAAATAACACAACAGTAACACTATAGTAAATTAATATATTGTTTCTATATCTACTTTTTATATTTTGTTTGCTTTTACTGTTGATACACACTTTCCAGCCCTGACAAGTAATAATTTTCATTCATGACTGATGAGTTCCAAGTTATTAACTTTAATTAAACAAAATTATCACACTCTAAACCATATGCCTTACCTTGTGACACAGAAAAAAATAATGCATTTTTTGGTACATACCAATAATATATGGTTTATTACTATATCCCAAATATATCAAATTTACTGTGCATACTTATATCACAAGAAACAATATATTGCTTCAGTGTATGTGGGGGTGGGGGGAAGAGAGGGAGAGAGGGAGAGAGGGAGAGAGGAGGAGAGGGGGAGACAGAGACAGAGAGACAGAGACACAGAGACATAGACGGACACAGAGGCAGAGAGAATGAGAGACTAAGAGACAGAGAGACAGACAGAGAATGAAACCGACAGAGACAGACAGAGACAGAAAATTCTACCCCACAATACTCCCGACAGACCTTGAGGAACGTGGAAGAGTCAGTGTAGACCATGTTGGCTGCCTCCTCTCCCTCCAGCTCCTCCTGCTGCCGAGACCTTTTCATGCGCTTGATGCGGTCCTGGTCTTCCTGCTGCTTGTCTATGTTGCCCAGCGCCTGGCCAAGCTTATCCGCACTGGCAACCCCAAGCTGGAAAGCAAATGATGAAAAGAAACAATTAAATGGTAATGTGAGTGTGTGTGTGTGTGTGTATGTGTGTATTCTACTCATGTACATACATGAGGGGACTTTTAAAGGTTTGCAAAAATTTGGAATTAAATAAAAACTATAATACACATAACCTTTATTCTTTCACAGAATGTCAGTGAATTTCTAGATACTTTTGCAAGTGACAATACTTGGGTCATTCAGCTCACTCATACAATCCAAAGGGTCCTGAGAATTTGGCCAAGTCAAAACAGTTCCTTTATCGTCAGAATAAAAATGGATGCTCTTTAGGGGTTTCTAAAGCATGAAAAAAATGAGAGAGAGATAAAGCAGGATACAGGATGTGAATGCCTATAGACTTGCCCTTGATTGATGAGAATATGTTGGGGCATTCTTATGATGAAAGGT